ATTGTAGTAAACTTGGCCCAAACAAAACCCGACCATCACACTGTATCCTAGACTTGATAAACATGTACTTGTTATAATTGTCCATAATTCTTCTTCCGTCACAAGACAAAACAGCTGTTAACTATCTTATGAAATTTCTATTCGGTATAACCTGCGATACAGTCTTTGAAGATGTGTTTCAATTACACAGCACGTACATCCTCTTCCTGTTTGTGAGCGCTGTAGCATCATGAACAGCTATCTTTGCTAAATATAATGGGTACAAAAATCATTATTGTCTGTGAATGTTAGCCAAGTTGGCACGTCTTCTGAAGACAAGAGTTTTCCCTCTTTGTCCGAGCAAGCAAATGAACAAAACGAACTGTGCATGATAGTCTGTTTTGACATTGGGAATGTGTATATCATCCCTGATGGCCTTGTTACTACACTACTTAAGCATATAGACAATAACCTTTTGAACCCGGTGCATCATGGGTTAAGTAATGTGCAACATATGGCGTGTATAATGATATATCATTGCCAATTATTCGTGGTTTGATGTGTTTAACCTTGAACCTCACGACCTATGCCACAATACTAAGAATAATCATCCAACTCACTCGCAGTGCAAATCAGCATCTCCTGGTACCACAAATAGCTACAGCTGTGCTGATGCTGTGTTAAACAATGTTAACTCACTCATACCGCTGGGATGCTGACATGGAATCTGCTGAATGTGTGTAGGATTAGGGAGAACTTGTCAGCCCTGTTTCCAATGGCTGCTTCAGCCTGTAAACGATACGGCTCTGAGATTAGTACTGACTGCAGCTTGAACCTCAACCTGTCCTAGGACTAACCCAGGTTGGTGTGTACTTCAGCCATATAGCTATACATTAGCTGTCAGCTGACAGTACTGAAATTGGCAACTTTAGCCTTTGTAAGAGTGAGTGATTGAGTTTAGTTTTACGCCGCTTTTAGCAATATTCCAGCAACATCACGGCGGGGGACATCAGAAATGGGCTTCATTCATTGTACCCATGTGGGGAAGCGAACCTGGGTCTTCGGCGTGACGAGGGAACGCTTTAACCACTAAGCTACCTCACCGCCCCCATTGTTAGAGACTATCAAGTATCATTCGTTTAAAGTCTTTTGACGGCATATAGAATTGATACACATGAAGGCATGAAGTTATACGGATGTCAACTTGACTAGTTTGAGGAACACCTCGTTTAGGAATATATTCTTACTCCTTCATCAGCTGGCCCTGCATTTCACCTGATAAAGGAGTAAGAATATACTCCGAAACGTGGTGTTCCTCAAGACAAAGAAGTTCACGTCCATACAATTCTAGCCTTTATCTTATGTTTAATTATGACTTCACGACCTATGCATCATGATGATTGTGATGTAGGCACTGCTAAAGTACTATTGACCAAATCATGATGTTAGTCCCACTGAGGATATTCTGAATTGTTTGGCTGTACACGCCAGACATATTAAGTTATGGGGGCCGCCAATGCTCAACATTAACTTCTATGTGATCTTTAGTCATTTTCAAAAGGGGGTACGAACTCCCTTGAACCACACCACATCACACATACACACACGCACGCACGCACGCACGCACGCACGCACGCACACACACACACACACACACACACACACACACACACACACACACACACTGGATCCGCCAATGACGTGTACTTGTGTGTTGGATCGAAACCAGAGTGCATTTATACAAAGAGATTTTAGCGCTAAGGTGACCGTAACATAGACTTTAGGTAGTCTTAGCGCTAAGGTTAGTTCGTACAGCAGCACCCAGGTCTTCGATGTGACGGGGGAAAGCTTTAACCCACAATACAAACTACCTGCCTCATTTTGGATGTTGGGTGCACAGGATCCAGGCTGCACGTCAATACCATGACGACATCCTCCCTCATCCCGACATTGCTTGACGTAACGTGGCGTAACTTGTTTTTGTTAGCCGTGGAATATAGCAGTTTCGTTGGCCGTATTGGGATTTCTAACGTCGTCTGTTGTTTAAGGCATAACCGCAATTAAAATTATGATAATCGTGTCTTCTTTTATAAGACAGTGGATCCCAATATGATATTGGCCGCGAGTGGTTGGTGGATAGATCGCGTGGCCGGAGAGCGCAAGGTGGTTCGATCCCCGGCCACGTCATAGACGATAAAATGTGGCACCGCTTTGTGTACGGTGCAGGTGATAAATAAGAGCCGGATTCGTCAGGATACGGAGTCTGAGAGTTCTGAGGACTATTTAATTTGCACCAGTCAATACTGGTCAATAGTCCGACCAAGTACAATCAGTCGCACACACGCGTGCGCACTTACGCTTATTGCTATATATAAGTGCAATAACTTTGATGGTGATGTTATGCCCCTATTCGCCCCACCTTGACGACAGTGAAAATTAAAACAACTCCGTGAACTTGCAACACATTAAAATATATTAGTGGTAATCTTAACACTGCAGTAGATGCAATTTCAAAAGGCCTGCGAGATAACAAATCTGAAACGTCTCACTGAATATTTCAGCAAGCTCGTAAATAAACTGTAAAATTAACTTTAATGTCGTTTTATCGCCACGCGCAACGGACGCCTTCTTAAAATGGCCGACTGCGTTACCGCCTAGTTTCTCACTCTCAGCGTCCTCTATCGGACGAGTATCGCCTGCTGACACATACACAACTCAGAAAGATATCAGATTTTTTTCGGGCACTTTCTGCTATATATACAGCGACATAGAATAAGGAGGCTTCGATAGTGTCACCCGATGAGTGGCAGAAAAACATCCTGGCAGAAATTACGTGGGTTTTAGATTACATGTGTCTAAATGTAAAGATACGCCGAAAGGATAACGGAAAGCACCTACCAGGAAGACACCAAAATGTCTGTCTTCTTGACTTTTGCAATGATATATACACGAGGAGGTTCTTCTGCACTAAATAAGAATCACTTGTTCCCAAACCAGTTTCGTAGTAGGGCAACAGTTTTGACTGAGACTGTGATTGGATGACACTGTGGAGAGCTTTATGCTTCTCTAAAGTACACCCATCCTGTAATTAAAACTTACCATATTTTTAAACATTCAGTGCAGTCTTTATCAACACGATGACTTTTGTTAAAGGCAAGACCATAATATGTAGCATGTCTAGGGTTCAAAAGTTTTTGGAAAATGAAGAAAGTCTCAGGGCTCCTTTTCATTATATTATATTTTTTCTATTCTGAATTGTTTTTTATGTAAAATATACTCATACCAATAATGGTTGTCACCCCCTCCTCACCCCAACCCCCATACACCCCACCCCACACACCCTCTCCAGTTAAAAAAATTGAAGGGGGTGACAACCATTATTGGCATGAGTATATGTTCATTTCAGAGACAAGTTGTTAGTCTAAAGCTAATCCAAATGTGTATTTCTTTCTATGGGAGTCTATAGGAAAATATTTGGTTCTGTGTAACCTGGAAACAGAAAAGAACCGCTAACTAAAATGGCTAGCAAAAGAAATTAAACACCAGTGTTTGATGGTGGCTAAACATATAACAAACTCAAAGTAGTGTTTCTATGCATTTGCTTCGAGTGATATTGCGGTAATATTGCTAAAAGCGGTATAAACCATACTCACTCACTCTGCCAATCATATAATATGACTTTGTTTGTTGTGTTATCTATGAAACCATGGGTCGTAAGCGGATATTTCAGTGAGTGAGTTTAGTTTTACGCCGCACTCAGCAATATTCTAGCTATACGGCGGCGGTCTGTAAATAATCGAGTCTCGACCAGACAATCCAGTGATCAACAGCATGAGCATTGATCTGCGCAATTGGGATACGATGACATGTGTCAACCAAGTCAGTGAGCCTGACCACCCGATCTCGCTGATATTTCAAGTGGTGGGGTGCTGAGTATGGATGCTTGTACATGTGTAGTACTCAACACTCCGCTAAATAGAATACACATATATATTTCATTTAATACAGCGATGGCTCAAACAGGGATAAACGGATTCCAAAGATCAAGAAAATATGTTTATGGTGAGTGTTGTCATGAAAACCAACATGTACTGTTACTATATTCTATATTGCAACTACGTCACAGAGCTCCAGATAAGATTTAGCTAATGTGGGTACTGTACCCACTGTATTCTTTTGGAGTGGGTATTATGAATGTTGAGTGGGTATTTCATTTTCCGTTACCCACTGCTTTCAAATATGTGCGTATTTCAGTCATTTTACACACCTACAAGTATTGTGTCATTGAGTAAGTTTATTAAGCAGGTATGTTCTGCCTTATGTCATACCGAATCAAAACCAACTTAAATACAAGGGAAATGATTTCATAAAAGTCAGTCATCCTATACTGACAGTACAACACTTGTCCTATACTAACAGTACAACTTGATAGCAATCGATGTCTTTTTCATTACGCAAGCGATTTTTATAAGTATATTCCATACGCATTTGCTTTAAACTCTTTGCGTATCTAACAGTTTAAATGCGTAATTGTTACGCAACAATTATTTTCCAATGCGTAATTGGAAATTTTCTGTACGTATTTTACCCGGATACGCAGCTTATCTGGACCTCTGTACGTACTCCAAGTTGATGGCCATTTATCAATAGCTGAATGTCCTAATTTTACGGATGGAATTTGCCGACTTCCTTTATCTCCATTGTTCTAGATGATGTGAACCTTTGAGGCGTGAGTCGAATATGGGTACAAAATTACCAATAGTTACAAGCTTCATGCATAACGCGAATAGTTTCATTATTACTCATGACACATTCACTACCTTCCGAGTAATTTCCGTGTTATAAACTAAAAGAAAGCACACGTTCACGAACCCACAAATAGAACACATTCCTGCACACATATACTTTATGCCTGGGTTCACATGCTGCTCTATAAATACACGTGTGTAAAAATCATAGGGGGAGCAGCACCGTGAGGTCTGTCTAAACATTCGAAAGTTTGGTCATTGTGGGTGAAGTGTTTACTCGAGTGTGTATGTCGGGAAGATAAGTGCCAGTTAAACTACCCAAACACCTGATTGATATGTCTTAAAACCCGCAGCTGCCTGCTATTGGTTGTCTAAACTTTTAAATAGACCAGATAGAAGAGAAGCCATCCCACTCAGGATAGCTAACAGTGGTGGCACACGCTTGGCACAGACGTAAAATTAGAAAGCAGACGAGAACTGGAACAGCAGACGTGAAATCAGAGAGCAGACGTGTAGGTGAGGCGCAGACGTGAAACAAGAGAGCAGGCGACAGGCAGAAGGAAAAGGGAATTCAACATGGAGATAAATGGTGTCCAGAGACCAAATTTGCCGAAAGGGTATCTGGGTCCTCAGCAGAAGTTCCAACCATATTGCCTGTCGACTTTGAGCCACAACAACCCGGAAATTGAGCTCGATGACAATGAGGTTGTGATCAAAATCAAGGCCGGCCAGCCCACCAAAGTCACTGCAAATCTTATCAATATTACAACTCAGGCCCAGTACAAAGATTGCATCTTTCATCAAACCGACGACGACACCGTATCTTTCACTATCAGCATACCAGAACCTGGGTTTTACAAGTTCCAGATTTATGCCTTGCCGGCGTCTGAAGACAGTAAGACCCTGTATGGAGTGTACAACTATCTGTTCTGCTGTTGCTCCGCTAGCAAGCCCGTCCGTGCCTTCCCTAAACAGTATGCTTCCTGGAAACAAGGGTGCTTTCTCTTTGAACCCCTGTACATAGGCAACGACAACATGGCCGATGTCAACTTCAAGGTTCGAATCCCTGGAGCTATGGACGTGGCCCTTACAGTGGAGGGACAATGGATTCATCTAGCCCAGACCGAACCGGCCATTTGGGAAGGAAATCTGAGTATCGGCGAATACAGAGGAAAGGATGTCAAGCTGGCCTTGAACGCAAATTTCGGAGGTGATTCGTCGAAATTCTCCACTCTCTTGGACTACAGGCTGTGAGGAAACATCACTGGACAATCGATTATTGGCTTTATGCAATCGGACTAATTTGCTCAAGGCATCTACGGGATCATAAAGCATATTCCTGTGACGGAAGGAAGCCATTTGGATTTCGTTTTGGTTACTGTTTGTAAGATACATCTCATGGTGACATGGTTTCGTCATGAATGAGAATGGACATGTGAGTCACTGTGACGCAAGTGAACGCTCAGTCAAGTTTCTATGTTATTGCTGCTCAAAAGCCCGTCAAAGGACGTATATATATGGATTGAAATGCACCTAACACAATGCTCAAACAACGAATGCTATTACAAATCTCGGATTATGCAATACGGATTTATGTGCTCATGAACTATGTATACATGTGTTTATGTGAATACATAATTGGCGAACACAGCGTATGTTTCGGTAGTTTATTGTTGAGATGTAGACTTTATACTGGACTACTAGTTGAGTCAGATGACTCACTGGAACGCAGGACGTGTCATGGGGACTCATTTTGACTCGTGTGAAGACGTATATTCAACATTGTTCAATTTGAGCTTTACTTATGGTAAGCACTAAAAGTATTCTTAAAGACAGAGTATCCGTAAAGATCCAGGTTAGAATTGGATGCTTGTCGTAAGAGGCGTCTAACGGGATCGGGTGGTCAGGTTCGTTGATTTGGTTGATACATGTCATCGTATCCACTTATGCTCGATGCTCATGCTGATGACCACTGGATTGTCTGGTCCAGACTCGATTATTTACAGACCGCCGCCATATAGCTGGAATATTGCTGTGTGCGGCGTAAAACTGAACTCACTCACTCACTAAAGACAGAGAAGATCAACATCATCACATTTGATCTAAATTGGTATTGGTAGTCAGCCAAACCATCCATAATAGTTAGTTATGTTACATATACATTTCTACGTAAATCACTTTGAAACTCTGGTAAGGTCAATCGTTTGTTTTTAAAGCAATATTTCAGCTATATAACGGTGGTCAGTTGATAATTGGTAAGGTCAAAATGTCTATACTTGGAACTTATGCGCTTGCAATCATTTTGAAGTCAAACACCTGATGTCAACAGTCATTATCGGTGATCCATTCAAATAATGTCCCCACTGTTTTGCCGTCTACGCCTTACGGAAGCTGTTTCATTGTATGATCGAAACTGGTTATCCTCTGGCAATTAGGCTCTATAATTATAATAATTATTTATTATAATACATGTTTGATAATACGATCACTGTAAGAACATAATCAAAAAAAGGAACTCGTTCTCTTACATTTCTGACATTTCTTTACTTGTGACATGCAGTTAATGGCAAAAAGAGATGTTGTTTATAGATCTGAATGTGTGATACATTTATTTTAGTTCACATGTTCTGTTGACACCAGCTGAACACGACGAAAAAAAAAGCAATTAGAATTTAAATCAATTACGTACTAGTATACTCATGCCAATAACGGTTGTCACCCCCTTCAATTTTTTTGATTGGAGAGGGGGTGTGGGGTGGGAGTGTGAGGTGTGTGTGGGGTTGGGGTGGGGAGGGGGGTGACAACCATTATTGGCATGAGTATAAAATCTGTTTACCTATCGAGTCACTTTCCTTGTCTGTAAAGGGGCGGTCGGAAAGCCTAGTGGTTAAAGCGTTCGCACGTCAAGCCGAAGGGCCGGGTTCGAATCCCCTCATAGGTACAATGTGTGAAGCCCATTTCTGGTGTCATCCGCCGTGATATTGCTGTAAAATTGCCAAAAGCGGCGTAAAACTAACAGTCACTCACTTTCCCATGAAGAGGTAGACATAAACGTGATGGTCTTTGACCGGGGTAAATTACCAAATTTACAGACTATTTTAAGTCATAAAATTAATTAAGGGCAATTCTTTGCCTCAGTGTTCAGTGGGTTTTGTAGATGAAAGGGATGTTTTCGGTAGAATTAATCCGCCACGGGATACGCTACGACTTAGGAAATGAGAACTGGCTTATTTCAAGTTTTTAGGTCAAAGCATTTGCATTCGAGGCACGATAGTGCTTAGCTGAGGTTAGAATAAACTCTCTTCTCATTCAGGTAACATCAACGGCGTTAAACAGCGTTACATTATCTACTCATCATCTGATGAGGTTGATGCGTTTTCGCTGTATGTTTCTGGCAATATCTTACGTTCACGTGTATCTTTAGAAAAACTAAATCTAATATATTTTACGCCATCAATTTTCCCAAGCTGTAATTGGCACGTTTTCTCGTTGCCAGCATAACGGTGCCGCTGAGAAAGATGGTAGAATAATATTATGACGTCATTGACGTTCTTGGTGCCAAGTAGATTGCTTTGGCGCTGTGCCATAAACTAGTTTTCTTACCATGTCAGATATATTTCTGATGTATCTAATGTGGGTGTCTAGCTATGCGCTGGGTCTGGTGTAATTAACGTTCCCAGGGGTAGCGTGTAAGCGATACCTTGCTATGGGGTCAGGTACGTGATTTTTTACATGCGATCTTTGACTTGGTGCCATGGCAAAATATTGTCCGTCTAATACAAATGGGAGGTATATCGTTGCATTGCTGTTTAAGGCTAAGGAAACAGTTCGATAATTGTCAGTGCTGTAGGGATACATGATGTTTGACTCAGTTTCAAATTATTTGAATATATTGCTTTTAAACTTAGTCTGAAGACGGTTTTCATAGACGTATGTCATGTGTGTTTTTCAATAATTTTTTTTTAGGAATGCCCATCTTGATATGACGTCATGTCATGCATCAGATGCGTACGTCAGTAGGGTGTCTTTAGGACAAGTGTGCAAAAGCGGTCATTTATTAACATAATCGTCAACTTCTCCGTTCATAGAATTTTACTATTTTTAGAACATCTATAGGGCGTTATACGTTACCAATTTGGCTTTGTTATAACTCTTAATTCCTTACACCATAAACTACTTAAAGTGAAACCTGGTTATTCCGGAGCTCTTTAGTGCGGAACCATTTAGTCTGGAGCCATGTTAGTCTGGAGCCCTTTAGAATGGAGCCCTTCAGTTCAGAACCCTTCAGTCTCGAGTGTGTTACTTGGTAACCCGTTAGTTTAGAGGCTGTAAGTCCGGAATTCTTTAGTCTGGAGCCTTTTACTTCGAAACACTTTATTCTGGAATCCTTTAGTTTGAAACCCTTTAGTTTTGAATCCTTAAGTCTGGATCGTTCTGGTACGGAGCCCTTAGGTCCGGAACCCCTCAGTCTTGAATCTTTTACGTCCTCGTGGTTTGGTAGACCGTCAGTTTTACCTGAAGTTTTACCTCCGCTGTTGGTGTAGAGTATTTTAGTTTGAAACCCTTTAGTCGGGGGCCTTTTAGTTAAAAGGCCTTTAGCCTGAAACTGTTTAGTATATATGTTCTTGCAAAGATCATTTAAACTAAACGCTACCTTTAATATGTATTTTATCATCAAAGCAGTTGCTTGAATGAAAACATGTTGCACAGGTGATTAATATGTTCTTACTGTGTTTCGACAAGTTCACAAGTACCAATTTTCACACCAACGATGGCGCCAGATATATTCGTTTGATAAAAAATATAATATTGGCATGAATTCGATGCATGGTAAAATGCACACTCAGCAGAAAATAATTATGTTGTGTTAGAGTTGCTATCAGAAGTGAGTCTTCATTTAGGACGGCAAGCCATAAAGATGTGAGACGAAAAGAACCTACAAACTATCTTAACATTCTCAACATACCGTTCACGGTAGGGTGTCGGGCGATATGGTCTGGGTTTTTTTCACAGATTTCGTCTACATTATCACTATTTGAATCTAAAAGGAATTTACTTTCTTTTTTAATATTCATGAGCACATAATTAGCATTTATGTGAAGTACACCCTGGTTTGTGTCTCACAAACAGAATGTCACTATGACCCAAGTATTTGATCTGCAGCAATTGTGTCCCTTAACAATGCCAGGATCCGCTGCTCGGGGGTTTAATAAGAAATCCGACCCAGTTATGTTCCTTAGGTAATCTTTTCAACTTGACGCGTTCTGATATAATTGAAATACTGTTCAAAGTTAATATCTCAATCCTCAAACTCTAAAAATGTTCATCCATTCCTTATCTACTTCAAGTTAAGTATTCATGTTAATTAACTCCCTGACAGATTCGTTAACTAATTAGCGTCAGTCTTATTATCGCATTAGGTTAATCACCTTCGCGAATGTGTAAAACGCTGGCTATTTTACACTAACGATAGGTTAACGTGCTGAGTACGAATCGTTAGCATGTTCCAAGAGACAAGAAGGTGAAGGGTAATTTGAAATAAATAACAGATCCCGACGTACAGCTCCTGTGTGTACTAACCACTGGTTGTATATATAACTTGAAACTTCAAGTACTCACTCGTGTTGAACATAACAGGTTAGAAACACGGTTAGTATTAAACAAGGTTCATGGTTAAGACTGCAGGCGGCAGATACAGCTGTTTGACGATAGCGTAGATTTAATATACAAGAAAAGGTTATTCAATGGTGTCGTAGTTACCAGCGTCATAGTCATTGTTGTTGTGTGTGTGTGGGTGTGGGAGGGGTTGGTTGGTTTGCAGCGTTTAGTTGACTGATTTTAAGCCCTTTTGATAATTATTTGGTCAAATCCAGCTTTCGCATTCTTTTGGCAGGCAATTAAGTATTCAGACCAAACAGGAATACAAATTAAAAAACGATAACACAACACTTTTGTTTATCGAGAGACACCTTTATTCAAAAATAAAATGGATAGCCAAGCAAGCCAAGATGGCGTATGTGAGTACCTCTCCATTACAAGTAGATGGAGGTGGGTCTAATTAAATATACAGAACCATCATCGGAAACTGTAGATTTACAGGCATCGGTACACATTTTCCAAATATTCTCTATCGTTTCAATTCATAACGCCGAAAGATGGTCTAATAACAGAATGCATTTCAAAAGAGCTGACACAAGGCAGAATTCCCCTTATTGTATTACCCGAATACTCCCTTCCCTGTGGTGTTCTCTGTGATCTTTCATCATTGGAGCTGTGTAGTACTGAGTGGGACCATTACGTGTAATTTACAGATAGTCGTATTTGTGTTTACCTTGCAATTCCCCTCTGACCCTTCACCACTTGAGATGATTTCCCCCTAGAAACCCTATAGTAATAATTCTCTACACTGTTGTTGTACTGAATACTGTATACTGAGTACTATATACTGCTATTGGCTACAGCTAAATGTGAAAGGCATGGTCCCAGGCCGTATGTTTGGCAGGGATATACATTTGTGAGTGAGAGAGTTTAGTTTTACGCCGCACTCAGCAATATTCCAGCTATATGGCGGTGGTCTGTAAATAATCGAGTCTGGAACAGAGAGTCCAGTAATCAACAGCATGAGCATCGATCTACGCATGTGACAACCAAGTCAGCGAGCCTGACCACCCGATCCCGTTAGTCGCCTATACATATGTGCTTCCTGTTACCTACAGTTAACGGTCTCTGTGGTGTGCACATGAGGCATATTTAGTCTGTAGTAAACTGTCCAGCTTGTAACTTGGGTTAACGTCTAAAACATACACTCAAGCCACAAAAATCATATTTGTTCGTCGGAATCAAAGCCTTGCGTATTTTTTTAACATAGATTTAAAATGAATTCAGGTTTGTTTTGTTTGAAATACATCATTATCACATCACCCCCTCACGTCTGCACTCTAAAACAAATTCTATGATAACCTTAAACTAGATGTAATTGGTGTGTAATGCACTGATCAACAAACACATCCTATTCGATCACTTTCTCAAACCTATAATAAATATATTTCTTATAACTTGAGAAATATAACACGAGAAAAGGAATGAGGATTTCCTTCATGTGGGTATGCATTTAAACAAGCATTCCAACTTGTATCTAAAACATTACTTATTCGACTTAATTTGAAAATATTATTTTAAATATTCCCGCTCAAACAACTGTCTCTGTTTCAGATCCACCAGCCGTCCAATCAGCTTCAGTTTGGTACGCCCACTATGTCAGTACGCATGCGCAGTGGACATATGTGACAACGTGTTGTGTGTTTTCTTTGTATTGGCTCGTGTATCTCCACGTTTTGCTGCGTTCTCTTGTATTGCTAACGTGTTTGCTTCAAGCTTCATGTTTAATAAATCGTCTTTTATGTTCGTATTTTGTCTTACATTTACAACACGGCTAGCTAACGGTCCGGACACACAAGACAATCGTACCGCTATCTCGTCTCCCTTATTGCAGATTACAAAGGAGACCTGGGCCTCGATTTTCGAAGCTCTCTTAGCGCTAAGATAGTCGTAAGTGCCATACGTTAACATTAACTTACGACTATCATAGAGCTAAGAGAGCTTCGAAAATCCAGGCCCTAGGGCCTAGATTTTCGAAGCTCTCTTAGCGCCAAGATAGTCGTAAGTGCCATTCATAAGCATTGACTTACGACTATCTTAGCGCTAAGAGAGCTTCGAAAATCTTGTTCCTCAAATCGATTGTAACTCTAAGACGATCGTATCTCCCATACTTTAACATAGACTTACGACAGTCGTAGCGCTACAATTGCTTTGAGGAAAGGGGCCCTGGGTCCCGATCCACAAAGCGTTCGTAACGTTACGACCTGTCGTAACTCTATAGTTTACCATAAGCTTACGAATGTCGTAGCGCTACGAATGCTTTGTGGATCAGGGCCCAGGGCCTAGATTTTCGAAGCTCTCTTAGCGCTAAGATAGTGCCATTCATTAACATTAACTTACGACTATCTTAGCGCTAAAAGAGGTTCGAAAATCTAGGCCCAGGCCTTCGGCAACACATGCTTGTCGTAAGGGGCGACTAACTGGTGGTCAAGCTTGCTGACTTGGTTGACACGTCATCGTATCCAAGTTGCCTAGATCGATGCTCATGATGTTCATCACTGGATTGTCTGGTCTAGACTCGATTATTTACAGACCGTGGCCAGGTTCGAACCCCCAGATGGTTAACAAAAGGAGTGCTGCGTCTCTGTGAGACAGTTTTAGGATTTCAATGAGTACGCGTATACCTCAAATTTGTTATATGAAAGTAAAATTGACTTCTAGAACATTCATCGTCAACACCATACGAGTTTGAATATCCATCTATGTAAGAGTGAGTGAGTGAGTTTAGTTTTACTCCGCATTTAGCAATATTACAGCAATATCACGGCGGGGGACACCAAAAATTGGCTTCAAACATTGTACCCATGTGGGGAATCGAACCCGGGTCTTCGGTGTGACGAGCGAACAAGCACTAGTCTACCCCTCGTCACTGCGCCCATTAGAAAACACTACGGTGGAATCCATAACAATTTGCATGACATCTCAAAATATACACATTCCTACGCCATAATTTCCCTTTCCAGGTGAGTGAATGCTAGAGCTGTGACGTTATATCGTAATGTCGATAATCGTGATACTTTATCTGACGATACATATGTCGATACTATTTTTCGTATCGTGATATGTATCGTTGACCTTAAAATTGTTAATTTTCACCAGAAATTGACGGTTATGTCCAAATTTACACTGTTACTTGCTATCAAAATATGTTTTTTGAAAGAAAATAACTAAAGATAGCATATCGTGATATGCATCGAATCGTTCCAAGATATCGCGATACGTATCGTATCGTGAAATTTCTGTATCGTCACACCTCTAGTGAATGCTGTATATGTCGTTGTGAGCAATATTCTGAACAGGTTAACTATAGCAGCGTGTTCTTAACTTCCAATGAGTGGTATATTGTATGAACCCTCCAGTTATCTTGGGAACATCCTCTGGTGCTGTTGGGGAGGTAAGATAATTGTTAGCCTCATTACCAGAAACACATCTTGGAACACCTGCAGCCTGGTCGCCGAAAAAACATGGCATACACCGAGATACAATAGCATAACAATCATATATCGTTACCATGACAACCAGCGAAAGACGGATACGGTTCATGTCTTATGTAATACTACCCTAACAAAGATAGATTATATTACCTTCATATGTGCACCTCTACACGCCCGCATTGGAGTCTGGCAGCAACGTGCTGCTAGTGCGGTAACCTGCTCTCCACATACTCAGCTCATATCAGCTCAAATACTGCTGTAAGAAGTAACTGCTGTTGTCATTAGTAAAATGTTGTGGTGAGTAGAATGCTGGTATGTTTGAATGTACCTAAAACATGGACAAAGTTACACGTACAACCTGTTCTCTACATACAGACAGACAGACAGACAGTTTTATTCAGTAAAAGGCCACTGGCCCATAATACAGTCAAATGCGTGATCACACATCACATGAATGGTACACAATGATTTATAAAAATGTTCTGCTCTTCATTCTAATTTGTACATTATATAAGAACAAAGAAACATTCTTAATCATATCGACATTTGCAGATTGCATAATATGGATAAAGTTGTTTATCGTCGGCGGCTTACTTAAATATTTCCCAATATATTTCCCTCGAATATCAGAGAAACATTCACAAATATACAAAATATGCCACTCATCTTCAACAACATTAATACCTTTGGATTTACAAAATAAACAAAATCTTTCATTTGAAGCAATATTTTCATATCTCCCAGTCTCTATTGCTAGATTAAAGTTTCCGCATCTAAATTTTGAAAGGGCAGATCTCAAATTTAAATAAATATTACAATTTAAGTATTTTTCTACATCTAACAGAGTCTTATACTGACAATAATAAACAGTTTTATGTGAATTTTCAATGGAAGAATACCAGGATTGCTTTAAATTATCGGTCAGTCTTTGTTTAAAAGAAACATAAAATACTTGACATTACCAATATCCTGACTGACCCATGCATAGCCAAAACCATAAGTAAATAAAATATGTTTAACATTAGTTACCCAAGTTACACGTCCAACATCATCTAATGATTTCAGCATTTTGTAACAGTGTTTTGGGAGTCTGTTTGGGGGTAAGTACAATAAATGACACCAATATTTGATAACCTTAGTCATATATACAATTTGTAAAGGAGTCTACCACATTCTCCAAGTACCACATTATTACAAGTTGATTTACCAACTTTTAAGAAATACTTACAAAATTTAATTTGTACAGACTCTATGAGTTTACAATAACTGGTGCCCCAAACTTCAGCTCCATAACATAATATAGGTGAGATCATACAATCAAATATTTTAAACAAATCTTTACAATTGACACCACCCATTTTTTCTTTGGAAGTTATTTACAGAAAATAATGCCTTATTGGCCTGAGAAACAAGACATGTCTGTGCTTTACTCCATACAAGTTTTGGTGTAAATACAAGTCCTAAATATTTATAAAAGGATACACATTCAATTTGTTTACCATTGTAATACCATTTTTCATAATCTCTTAGAGGGCCACCATTTCTAAAAACAAGAATCTTAGTCTTTTTAAGATTTACTGACATACCAGTGAGTTTACAAAATTTCTCAAGAACATTAATCTTTTTCTGTAATTGGTTGCATGTATCAGACAGTGCCGAGACATCATCAGCAAACATAAGTGAACATACATTATTAAAATCTGATGAAACAGTTACACCTGAACCACCCTCCAATTCCATTAAAGTACATAACTTGTTAATGAAGATAATAAATAGTTGAGGGCTTAAAACACATCCCTGACGGGTACCAATATTGCAAGAAAAATATTTCGACAAACCTTTTGATGTTCTAACACAAGCTGATAAATTCTGATACATTGTTTTTACAACATTAAAGATTTTACCACATATACCAACTTCAGAGAGGGACTGAAGTAAAACATCATGCTTAATGGTGTCAAAGGCTTTGGAAAAATCAATAAAAAGACAGTAAAACCTACCCTTCTTTTTACAAGAATATTTCTGAATTAAAGCCTGGAGGGAAAATATATGATCAGTTGTAGAATAATTAGCTCTAAAGCCTGCTTGGGACTCACTAATAATTTCATTAATATCACACCATTTCTGAAGGCGTTTATTCAAAATAGAAGTAAATATTTTACAAACAGAGTCAATGAGGGATATGCCTCTATAATTATTAGGGTCATCTTTACAGCCAGATTTAAATAAAGGACATATTATACTCTTACTCCAGCTTTTAGGGAAATTGCCACTGTCAAATATTTCATTAAAAATGGAAGTAAGAAAGGGTACAATATAATTACTAGAAGCTTTAAGAAATTCTCCAGCTACACCATCTGGTCCTGGTGACTTATTAGTAGAAATATTCATAACATGAAACAAAACTTCTTGTTGAGTGATTGCTGCATTAAGTAATGGCATATCACAATTGGAATGAGACTCAACATCATTTAGAACATCTGTTTCATTGACCCAAAGTAAGGATAAAAAGTGATTGAGCCACTGTTGACAAGAAATAGAGGCAGATATATTACTAGACATTTTATACTGTTTGAGTAATTTCCAAAACTGCTTAGGATCATTGCTGGCTTCAACAAGTTTCTGTCTCTGTGTATACATGTAATTATCTCTCTTGATACTGAATGTCTTCTTGAACAGATTACGAAGTTGTCTAAATATATCCAGATCTTGATTATTATCTCTGTGAGCTCTAAGTGCAGAATATTTATCATGTTTTAATTGTTCCAACTCTTCATCCCACCATGGAGGTTGAGATTTATCACTAGAACTCATGTTATGTCTGTTGTGATACACAGTCCTGGTATGCGTTGCTGCTTCCTGGAATACACTGGTAAATAAATTTACTGCTTCATTGATGTCTGTATATACGAGATCGTTCAATGTATCAAGGGTATCCATGAATGATTTAGTGAAATTATTCAAAAATTCATTGTTGGAGTCCTTAGAAAACACATATCTAACCCAGTTACCGCCTTCTTTATTCTGTTGAGTATCACTCTGCTGTGTAGAGATGGTAGGTTGAGCATGGAACAGATCTAGAGTAGATGGAATATTGAGGCTGCAGTACAGAGGGAAATGACAGGAAAGGTCAAGAGTTCCGATTCCGTTCACTACATACACACACATGGTTCATCATATACTGAGGGGATCACATGAAAGCATAAGTGTTCCTTTATTTGTTTCCAGGTTTCTTCAAAGCTATGCGATACAACGCTTGTGAAGAAACCTGGAAAAATATAAAGGAACACTTGTGCTTTCCTTGGATCCCTT